AAGAAGAGTCGCCTCAAATAGATAAAATGAAAGAGAGGCTTGAGCGATTAAAGCAACTCAGATTAAGAAAGGTTTGTATTAAACTATGAATTTCTTAAAACATCTTTTATAGATTTCTAGTAATTTAACAAAGGATCACAGGATGACGCAGAACAAGCAAATAGGAAAGATCTTTACGAAGAGCATCAACGTAAAAAAACTAATCCCAAAGAACTTATTCACATACAAAGATTAAGAGAAGAAGCAGAAAAATTACAAGAAAGACAGGTTGGTTATATATTTATATTATATATTTTCACATATAGAATTTGGATTTATAAATTGATTTTATATTGATAGGAAGCAATAGAAAATGGAGAAGATTATGAACGAAAGAAGTTTTGGGAGTACTCAGCAGAAGCTGTAGAAAAATGGGAAAAGAAACAACAAAAGAAATTGAAAAGGTCTAATATTGCTTTTACGGGTAATTAAATAATTTAAATATGAATAATATGAATATATTATTTTTTATACCATATAAAAAATAGTCCGTTGTTTGAATTTTAATTCCAGAAATACTCCTGAAATTTTCCACGGATTTGCAACAACATAAACGATAAAAGAATATAACAAACAATACAAAAACTTGGCAAATTTCCAAGAAGGAATGCCCACCCGTATAAAATTTTACTTTGAACCGAAAGAAATTAGAAGAAAATTGAAAAGTTGATGATCTTGACTAGAAAAGAAACAAAATAAAGTTAGTTTGTGCGCACAACTTTACAAAAAAAACAGGTTCTTTGTAATAAAATACTTGCATAAATATTAAGCATTCTCCAAGGAAGGAATCACTGAAATAATAAAAATAAATATTTTATAATGTATGTATTATTTTTTATTATATCAAAATAAAGCAAGCAAGCAAGCGTATTGAATCAATCAATAAATCAATTAGATTAAACAATGGGAAATAATTATTTTTTGTTTAAATGACTGAATGAACGAATATTATTTAAAATTGTCATCTTCCAACGACATTAATAAACGTTTTCAACAGGTCTTCTCCATACGATCCATACATACCTAAGGAGGGTGCTGCTGGTGGTCCACCTTCAAAAACTTTAGAAATTCAAAAAAAAATAGACGAGACTGTAGAAGTTATGCGTGATAACCTTAAATCTGTTGCTGAAAGAGGAGTGAAATTAGATACTTTACAAGATAAAACTGGTA